GGAGCAGGCCCAAACCATGTCCTTCCATTGTCTTCCTCTCCCTCCCTCATGAGGGCAGGGAGAGGGTTGTGTGCAGCTCTTCATGGCCTCTCACCGATGGCGATGTAACGGACAGAATAAAGAAAGCAAGATGATGGTCACGCATCCTCTCACCAACAAATATGAATGGAAACCCCTCTCGATTCCTCCATTGTATCGCATGTGTGTGAGAGCCTGAGAGGGTCACTTTTCAATTTCGAAGGGGCAGAGAGGGCCATTCCGCCAGTCTAGCGGAGGGCCATTCCGCCAGTCTAGCGGAGGGCCATTCCGCCAGTCTAGCGGCTTGAAGACAGCGTGTCATACAACCCATCGACCCACCACCATCTCTCGCATGCTCCCTCTGCGCCATTCACGCTGGACAATGAATGGCCCCGGAGTCCATTTCCATTTCCCTTCCTCTCTTTGGTTCTCCTTTCCCATCGATATTTTTTTTTCGTTTGCAATTTCTTTCTGGATGTGCATGTTCACTTGTTTGAGGTTGTTTCCTTTCTTTTTTTCCTTTGAAAAAAAAAAAGAAATAAGGGGCCTGTCGGCCTTTAGATGTCATCACAGAACTGACTGGCACCGGGCAATCCGGAATTATTTTATTCTCTTCATCTGAAGTTTAGTCTGGATTAAAACCTGAGTCTGTATTTCAACAGACTCAGGGGTGTACCAATGGATCTAAGCCCCTTTTTTTTTTCTTTTTTTTTTTTCGGTCACCTGGTTAAGTTTGAAAGTCCATGTCCTTCGCCGGACCTTCGGGACATCTGTTAAAATTGGAACGATACAGAGAGAGAGAGAGAGAGAGAGAGAGAGAGAGAGAGAGAGAGAGAGAGAGAGAGAAGATTAGCATGGCCCCTGCGCAAGTAAGGATGACACGCACAAATCGAGAAAGGGTCAGAAGAAAACAAACAAGAAAAAAAAAAAGAAAAAAAAAAGGGTTTGAAAGTCCATGAGAGGTTTGGTCTCACTCCCTTTCGAGATTTTTAACCACTTTGTGCAGTGAGCACGAATGGTTAAACCACCAGCACCTACCGGTTGTTGTGGCCGTTAACGCGGTAAACGAATCGGTCTGCCCGTTGGGTCCATATTCATTAGACCCAGGGGAGGCGGGGGTACAAAAAATGTGGTAGGTACTGGTGGTTTAATAGGCGGTGTCATTTTCGGCAAAATTTTCACCGAAACTGCCGTATTTCCCTAAACTTATATATATTTACCGGGCAGTTCTATTTGACGATATATATTTTTTTATTGTGTGATATCACTGATATGTATGTGCTTTAGGGTATATCTGTATTAACTACTATTGAGTCATTAGGTGGGCCTTTTATTAACCACCTCTCCCAGTGTGCCAAATGGGATGGGTCCTGAAGCAGCCTTGCATTGGTAGGCAAATGAGGTCCACTGGGACTAGTGTTTTTTCATGGGTATCGGTACTATCGAGACTACAGACTCAACTTCTAATTCCTAACCCAGATTTGCTCCGCTCCGCTCAACTGGGCCTTACTTAGACCATCACTGTCACTGCCTTCCCCGGCGATTTTGTTCCACTGCGGCCATTAAACCCACCAGTCCTTGGCCCAGCTATTGGCCGTGCTCAAAATAAAGAGTACAAACGTTTCTCGTTGGATGAATTTGGCCGCTCCTGTAGTGAGCCGTACGTTTCCTAAAACCGTGGCTTGGTAATGGGCACGTCTTCGGCAAGCACTGGTGGTTTAACATGCCATGACCTTCCGTCCGTTCTTCAGGCCGTTCAAAGGTGTGCCCATTGCTGCCCCATTCAGAATTATTTCTATCTATTCATGTCCCTCCTGTGGCCGTGAATACCCAGTTCTTCGGCGAGCACCTCCAGTTGGTGCTGAACCTGAGAATTTTCCACGGGCCCATCGGAGATTCCCAATGGGCTTCCCAGTGGTGCCAGGCAAAAAATTGGAAAAAAAAAAAAAGCGCCGGCACCGATTTCAGTTTTTAGCGGCATGCAGAAGAGCCGCCACGTCTTGGAGAAAGAGCCTCGGAGTCCTGTCCTGCCGATTTAAAGCCTAAACCGGTTTATAGAGTTTAAAGTTTAAACACTACTGAGCTCCTCCGCTGGGCACATTGGATATTGCCAAAAAGTTGGGGTACATACATGTGGGTGGGGGCCTTCTGATCTCTTCCGGTCGGCATTGGATATTTCTCAAGAATTGGGGTTTATACGAGTGGATGCCCACCGTGCTATGCTGCGGCACACAAACAGGGCGTAGGAGTTGGGAAAAAAAGAGGCAGAGGGCGGTCCTTATTTTTTCTGACAGAGGCACGTTAAAAACAGAGGGCAGTCCTTATACCGTGCTACCGGATTTGAACGCATTACATTTTTAACGACAGCGTCAACATGTCGTACTAATTACTAAATACTAAATACTAAATACCATACATGCAAGCGCACCTCGTGCGGGCCGTTCCTGACGTGCGGCGCACGCACCCAACCGATCCTGTGCGGCGCACGACATGTGCGCGGAACGACCCGTCACCCCCCTCCGAAAAAAAAGAAGAAGGCCGGGGGTCGAAACGGTGCGTTCGAGACCCCCCGCCAAAATTATAAGCGGGATGAAAAAAAAAAATTTGCAGGAGTGCTGCCTCACCTTGCTCCTCCTCCCCTTCCTCCTCCTCCCTTCTCCTTTTCGTTTCCTCCTTTTCGTCCTCCTCCTGCCCTCCATGTCTCCTCCTCCTGTTCGTCCTCCTCCTGCCCTTCCTCATCCTCCTCGTACTTCGCCATCTTCCATGCCTCCTCGTCTCCTTACCTTCCTTATGTCCTCCTCTTCCTCTCCGTCCATGTCTCCTCCTCCTCCCACTCGTCCTCCTCCCGCCCTTCCTCTTTCCCTCCGTCCATCTCTTCTCCTCCCCCATATCTGCCCTCGCTATTCTCGCCGTCCTCCTCGTCCACATCCTCCTCCTCTCCATGTCCCCCTCTACTCGCCATATCCCCAGCTTCCTGTCATACGCCCCACCCCATCCCCACTCCCAAAAAAAATAAAAATAATAATAATAATAAAAAACCTGTGTGATTTCGCACAGGCACACCCCGCACGGAACTCCGCACGGAACTGCGCACGAATGTGCGGCTCGTGCGGTTGCAAGTATGCTAAATACTAAATAGTGAAGAAAAAAACAAATCCAGTCTTATCACGGCCCAAAGTCAAGGAGCACTCGAGAAAGAAACAGGCCGCGCTAGGTTGTATTTTTTTTTTTTCCTCCAATTTTTTTCAGGTATTCCGAAAATGACTATTTTTTTGCACACCATTCATGATCATGGAACGGCTCCTTTTTTTTTTTTTTAATACTGCTTAATTTTTTAGTACTTTAAACTTCAAAAATAAAGGTTTTATAACTGCTGTATTCAAAAGTTTAAAGTCAAACTCAATGACATATTTACTGTCATTCCTGACAGCTTCATGAAAGTAGCTGGGGAAAAAAAAAAAAAAAGCTTAAAAAAAGCCAAATCAGAGTCCAGAGGCACATGCAGCATTCTTGTCACAATTTAGATGTTGATTATCTAGATTCGTTGGATTTGGACGCTTCAGAGAATACCTCCGACTTTTCCCTAGAGTGAATATTCCACTAGAACATGGAAAGATACACCGCCATGATTTTTGTTTGTCTTTTGTGCGTGTCGAGAGTAGTGGAGCGATGCCAATTGTTACAGTTTCGAACAAAAAAGATTGCACAGGAAAACTCGTGCAAACTCACATGGCAAGTCTAGGGAAGTTCCGCTCCTGGACTGACGATGCGATGGTGGAACGACAAGGCAATCAAAACTTAAAAAAAAAAAAAAAAACAATAAAATAATAAAATCTGAAGCATTCAATTTATCAGTGATGGTATAAAAACCTTCAAATCATTCTTCTTTTTTTTTCCCTTTTTTTTCTTTATTTTTTTGCGTTGGCAAACACTTTATGTACCTCCGCTGGCCACCAACCCACGTGAGCAAGGTGAAACCAGCTTTGTCGAAAACCAAAATCCGATACAGTGAGACTCATATGCCATGTAAATTTGACTTCAAATTTGACTTCATACAGCGCACGAAGACCGCCTCGCCAGATACATTGGCAATGACAACTCAGAAAAACCACCTCGACAGAATCATCTGTATCTAAACTCGTGGCCACCACGTGTGCATCTTTGGATGGCATCCTTTTGAGACTTGAAAGCCGACAAAGACAAACTGATGCCGTCATTTGTCACGGCCTCTGTCCATGTGGAGATGGCACCCGTGGCCCACCCATCTGTACCTCAGCTGGTGCTCATCATTTGGGAGGGGGGAGGAGCGGTTGGATGAGATCTCTAACAGCCCAAAAACGCAGATGTCACCGAACTAATGTCGAGGAGCGTTATTCTTTCCATCTATGAAATCGATGGTTGGGCACGACCAACACCCCCTCTCATATACCACATCTTGCGTCGGGGGAGCAAAGGGTGAACGAGAGCATACTCACACTAGGACTTTACGAGATTTTCCTGACTGTAATGCTCAGGCAACGGTCACACTAGCAAATCCCAGCCCCCAGGGCATACTCGCACTGGGACATTTTTGACTCAATTCCGGACGCTATTGCAGTCAGATACTTCCATCGGTCATCATAAGCTAGGGCAGATACATCCATGAAGGTATTAGTGTCAGTTCACTCTAACTGTGGGTGAGGCAGGTGAGTGAGAGCATACAGCCAGGTGGGCCTCTGTTGCTGTTTGACTGAAGTATATGCTATATATGCCCTTCCTTTTTTTTTTTTTTCCTTTCAAATCTGGACCATTTCTCGATTTGTGCGTGCCATCCTTGCACAGGGGACGTGCTAATCTTCTGTGTATCATTCCTATTTTAAAATTTAAAGCACCACTACACCACACATCGGTCCGCCGCTTCGGAGGCCGCCGATTTTTTCTTCCACAGACACCCCTGACCGCACGGTGCCTCCGAGTTTTGCTTGTGGCAACAAAAAACCTCCCGAAGGAGAGGCCCTTCCTTCTCTATAGCCCGTGTGTCTGGGACGAGGTGGATGGCGGGTGTGTTGGGCCAGCGTGGGATCTTGCTCATTTGGTGCCTGTAGTTGAAGGTGAAGAGGCCGGCCCACATCGTCGCAGGCCCACATCGTTGCACCGCACTTTTTGTTTACTGAGCTTTTTATTATGCGATGCTGCGACACTGCTCCACGGTAATTGATGGGGCTTCAGCAGCACAAAAAAAAAAAAAAAAAAAAAAAAAAAAAAAAACCTTTCACAACTGGCTTTTGTCACCTAGAGCATGATCCAGCACAACACTTTTTTTCCTTTTTTGGACCTTCACCAGGCCTTTCACGGCGCAGTGCTGGCCAACGGCATTACTATAGACCGATATAGGGAGAGGGCAAGGGAGAGTGTTGGTTTAAAAAGGGGGTGGAGAGTAAAGATTCCGGGAAAGGAGAACACAGGATTTATATATATATATATATCATCACAAACAGAGCTGCCCGGTAAACCGTAGGCAGAGAGACAGAAGAGGACAACAAATGAGGGGCTGTGACAAACTGTTTCGTCGGAGTTTCACCGACTCATCAGGAGGCTGAACCCTCAACAGTCTGCGGAATCCCCTCACTGATTACACTGTAAATGATAATCTACCTTAACCAAAATCAAAGTAGATTATCACTCACCCACACCCGATGGAAAACTCTATAAATATATATATATATATAGGCACTCTTGCAGGTAGGGCAACCTTATGACGATATGGGAAGAACACAGGAAATTTTAAACAGCAAACAGAAAAATGAAAAGGGGTAGCTCAGTGGGTATACCCATAAACTGTTGAAATGTAGACCTGAGTTCAAACCCAGAAGGAACCAGATGTTCAAAATTCCCGAATTACCCGCAACCAGTGATGATATCTCAAGGCTGCTGTCCTAATAAGAACTTGGACAAGGAAAACTAGCACAGTGCAGTTGGTACGACCGTCTTCCCCCGAACATAACGCACCTTAAAACGAATGTATACAAGTTATATTTCTGGCCAGATACAGCCAAAATGAGGGTGCGTTGTGTTCAGGGGAAGACGGTAGGCCACTTGGTACACCATTGAACTGTTGAAATACAGACCTGAGTTCGATCTCCAGTTGAGTAAATACTAAATACTATCTATTGAAACACTTCTGAATCACCTAGCGCCGGTCAGTTCGATGATTATATCTCAAGGCCATTGCCCTTGTTACAGGGAAAAAAAGAGAAAAACCAAATAACAAATAACAAAACACAATTGCATTGAGATTCGACAGAGAAGACTTGTCGGGAGCAGCAACGACAGAATGGTGAAGCAATTGCAGCGACTAAGTTCTGGAATTGTAAATACAGTTCCAAAAGGGGGAAATTGCGTTGCTTTCCGGAAAAGTCTGATATCATCAACAACCATCCGATATCATCACCAACCAATGTCTGAAACTCACCTACATCCTCGGCGTCTTCCTGAACCGTTTCGTACTTCGCCGCTTCCTGCTCTCTGTGAATCACCAACTCGGTATTTTCGAGTTCACTTTGATCCACTTTTGCGTACCACTCATCGAAGTTCACGAAGGATCGACCAATGATCAACACGGCCGAAAGCGCGGCCATATACAAAAGCACCGTTTTCCCTCCCTTCATCTTGTCGTCACTGCTCATATGCAGGGGCAACCACCGCCTGGACACATTCCAAATAAACCAGCAATCAGGTTACAAACTGCATCAAATAAACCAACTCGTCTTTACTCGGTTGGTACATCCACCGATTGTTGAAATGCAGACGTGAGTTCACATTCCAACGGGGCCAGTTAGTCCAAAGATGACATCACAAGGCTGTCGCCTTTTCTAAGGGAGAGGGGGAGTGGGTGCAATCCCTCAACAAGATGATGGGACTGGTCTGAAAATTCACGAGTAAGAACATAAAGGTGCAGAGAATTTAGGCATCTACCTATGAAAAGGAGTAGAACATAAAGGTGCAGAGAATTTAGGCATCTACCTATGAAAAGGAGTTGTATGTCGTCAAACAGTGGAAACATTTCTTGCTTGGGAGACATTGTAAGATCTACTCTGATCACTCCACTTTGTAGTGGATGAAGACCCAATTTGAGTTAAACGATAAGCTTGCGAGGTCATTCATTTTATTGATGGATTAAAATTTGAATTGAAGCACAAGAAGGGATACTATAAAAGGGTTGTTGATGCATTGTCGCGTGGACCTGATTCATTTGCTGCCACTGTTGACAATTACTCGTTTGCTAATCCCACTAGGCAGGCCATCGCAGATGCGCTGCCTTAGGACCCAGGCCCCATTCTTAGGAATCTACAAACTAACCCTAATTCTAAGCCAGGCTATGCCCTGACTTCAGACTCGCCGTACACAATCGACGAGGGGGAAGAGTGTTTGTGCATCATTAACGATCGCAAATCATTACTCGTCTGATTCCAGAGAGTCATGATGTTCCTGGTCACTTTGGGTTTGTAAGAACATATGCTGCCCTGACCCAACGTTTCTATTGGTCTACATTGAAGGATGATATCCTGCACTACGTGGAAACCTGTGAGTTGTGTCAAAGGAACAAGGTTCACAGGCGGCCTCCTATGGGATTACCCAAGCTCTACCTATCCCTGATGGCCCAGGCGAGCCAGTGTCCACTGATTTCACAAATTTGGGCAACACCACGCCATGTGGGATGAGACAGGTAATGGCCTGTATTGACAGTTTCTCTAAAAAGTGTTTGTGCATATCCCTAATGATCGAAAGATCATTACTCATCCGACTTCGAAAAGTCATGATGCTCCTTGCCACTTCGGGTTCTTTAAACCGAGCCAGTACATGGCCCTAGTCTTGCTGAAAACGCAACTTGTAACCTACAAATTTCTAGGAGGCTTGGCATACCAGACCACAATGGCTGGAGGTGTCGGCCAAGAAAGAAGGAAAGTGTACCACTAGCGGTTCGAAAATGCTTGGCGTGCAGTAAGGCACCTGCAGGCCCGGGTGTACTGGTGGTTTAAAGACATATGCTGCCCTGACCCAACGTTTCTATTGGTCTACATTGAAAGATGATATCCTGCACTATGTGGAAACCTGTGAGTTGTGCCAAAGGAACAAGGTCCACAGACGGCCTCCCATAGAGGACTACTCGAGCCTCGTACCTATCCCTGATGGCCCAGGCGAGCCAGTGTCCATTGATTTCACAGATTTGCGCAACACCGCGCCATGATTTCACAGATTTGCGCAACACCACGCCACGTGGGATGAGATAGGCAATGGTCTATATTGATAGAATCTCTAAGTGATCTGAGTTTATCCCCTTACGTGCTCATCTAAAGACCCATCCGGTATTCTACGCATCAAAGCTGCTGCCTTTTGCAACAGCCACTGCATATACAGACAGGTCTCCTCGATCCGGCCCTCCCATTCCTGGGAAAGAAAGGGTGAGACGTTGAGGAGATTATGGATCAGTGGCGCACAGGCCCCAACTGCGAGTACTTGGTGAAGTTCCGCCTTCAGCCTCACACACAGGACCGCTGGTTCAGCAGAAAGGAACTTCTCAAGTCAGCCAAGTCCATTGTTTTCACTCACGAGGCTGAGCAGAAAGGATAACCCCTTCGCCATTCACAGGACCGCTGGTTCAGCAGGCTCGGAGGTCCTTGCTCCCCCAGGGGGTATGAATGCAATGAACTGGCAGGTTCTAGTGCACTGTAAACTAGGTAAACTAGTTTCGTTAGTTTTGCTGATTTTGATCCCTGGACCTATGGCTGAACTGGGACTGTTTTAACTTTGTGTAGCTTTGTGCTCTCCAGGGCTTGCTCCCTGGACCTGTAGCTTCAAGCCCCGCTTGTTTGTTTTTTTCTGCTTATTGAAACCAGTAGCCCGTGGGCCCTTCTGTTCACTGTCCCAGGTCTTAGTCGGTAGGCAGTCTAGAAGTAGAGGGAAATCGAGTTGCATCGGCTTCTTTTCGTTGGTTCTTTTCACAAAGTGCTGCCGGAGGTCGTGTTCAAGGCTGCTGCGCTATTTGTCTGCGCAGCCATGTTCACCGGAGTTGGTGTTTGCGGCCATAGCCAAGGCCAGCCAACTACTTGAGACTCAGCACTGGGTTTCCAAGCCAGGTGCTGCAAAGCGCTTCTTCATTTGGTGTTCTGTTGGGGTTTGGACTGCTGCCCATCGAAGCAGCTTCATGATTTCTTCCTCGTGAGGGCAGATTTCCATCTTCATCGTATCGTTCTTCTTCTTCTTCATTCCGGGAGCTGCCGTGTGGACATGTCATCTGTAAGGGACTTCATGTGGGCTGCATACGATTATGTTGGACGCAGCAGGGTTGTGTGGTGTTGGCAGGCTTAGCCAGAGCTTGGTGGCGAGGGAGGAAGAAGACGACTCCCAGATAATTGGTTCCTGGGCGTTGATAACTGAGCAATGATAACGTGGTTAGGACCCTGGGAATTTTGTGCTGCTGATTGAATTGGAGGGAGACTGTTCAACAATAATTGAATTAAATTATATATATTCTACTAATTAATGGTTTTGGATGCTTCCGCTGTGTATTCCCCTCGTCTGGTTTGGGGTGGATTCCTCTCTCCAAGTCTACTTGCAATTGCTAAGAATGCCATGACGGATTGAAGAGCACAGTGAAATGTGATACTCAGTTTGAATAGCACACGAGCCATTGATACCATAAACACGTCGCGCCCAAGGCTTCTGCGAAGGGCACGCTCACCTGAGCATTAAAAAAAAAAAAGGAATTCGAACTCAGATCGGCATTTCAACAGTTTGTGGGTGTTCCAACTGAGCTAGACCAGTCAGTTCTTTCCACACCAACTTTTTTTTTTTCTCTGCGATTGTTTTTCACATGGCTTATCTGCAAAGAAAGGCCACAGTATTCCCACAACAACTGTTATGCTGTACAACTGTTCTTTGTCTTCACCTTTATAATGAGATGCTGGCCCTGGCTGGCAGCACATGACATCCTCCCGCCAATTGATCATCTCTTCAGTGAATGAACGGCAGAGCTGAAACTCAGGGGTTACGTAAACCTTCGAGCAGAGACCACACATAATCTCGCCTTTCCAAAGAAAGGAAAAAAAAAGAACTGTTTCTGCAAAAAGCGAGAATTGTTCTCCAACTCTGGGAGGCAACCCCTGGCAATGCCAAAAGGGTTCTGAACTTCTGAGCTGAACATCCTACCCAAAAAGGGCCTGGTCTGTTTATCAACAGTTCAAGGGTGGATTTATTTATTTATTTATTATTTTTATTTTTATTTTTTGGGGGGGGGGTTGTACCATTCAGCCACAGAGGCCTGGGGCCTCGTCCCACTTACACCGTTGAGTTCAGGTAGCTCAACGATGTGACAGACAGAAAAGCATTAAAATAATGGAAAAAAAACGAAACTAAAATGGAAAAGCCTTTTTCAGTATTTTTGGGTAGTTTGTTTTCTCGGGAAAATGTTTTCTATGTCGTTGGGGGTAATGATGACGAGCTACCCAAAATGGGATGGTGGCTGCCTCTTGACAACGACCATCCGCATAAAGCGGGAAGATAGTCAAGCCGTGCACTCCACTCACGTCGTGGACCAGGGTGAACGTAACTGCACCGTAGCATTGTCCAGGTTCAAGGTCGGTGTCCACTCACGTACGGCCCTATCCTCCTTGTCTGGGATGAAGGGTCTGCAAATCTATAAGGCGGTTGTTCAATTCCACGCCGTAGCAGATGCGGCACTGTGTTGAAAACTCGTACGGGATGCATGTTTGTGGGAGAGTGGGGTGTCTGTGGTTTCACGCCGTGTGAGGTTCAAAACTCTATAGCTACTGAGGCCGAAAGCCATTCGTGCCTGTAGTCCTCACTTGTGTTTGGGCAGACCTTATCTGTGGCTGAGGCTCTCCGCCATTCAAGTATCGTTGCACTGGCTTGCTGTCGTAAGGTGTAGGGGACGTGTGTGGGTATCCTCGATAGGGTCCATAGCTACGACCTTTCTCTGTGGGAGATGCGAGCTGCAAATGAAGCTGCCTGTGTGTGTGAGTATGAGCTGCCAACTGTTGCCAAGTGCAAATCAAGCCCTCCTCTGAGCTGGCTGCACTTGCATCCCATGCGAACTGCAAACGAAGCCCTCGTACGATATGCGAACTGGAAATCAAGCCCTCGTATCAGCTGCAGGAGTGCAAATCAAGCCCTCGTACAAGCTGGCTGAACTCATACGGGATGCGAACTGGAAAGCTTGCCCTGGTGTGTGTGTGTGTGTGTGAGAGAGAGAGAGAGAGAGAGAGAGAGAGAGAGAGAGAGACCTATAGATTCGCATGCACCTGGACCACAGCTACGACCCGAATCATGTCCGCCAGTGGGCCTCTCTGGACATGCGTTTTGTGGGTATCGCGACTTCGGCCTGGCGGATGAAACGCACGAACCAATGTACGTGGTCGTCATTCGAGGCACATGCACGCACTCGCACCCAACTCAAAACCTTTACGGTGTGAAACTTGTGAGGAGCTGCGCCGTCAGCCCGTATATGCAGGTGGCCACCAACGGTCTGACATCCCGCAATGATGACGAATCGGGAAAGACATAATTGATACGCAAGATACAAAAAAAAAAGAAGCATTGAGCTAGCTGTCTGCTTTTTTCCCTACAGCTAGCTCAACGCAAACGTCGAAGGGTAGGGGGCGTTCTAAACGAGGTATTCCAGTTTT